TATGACCAGCGGGCGGCAGGTATGACCAGCGGGCGGCAGGTATGACCAGTGGGTGGCAGTCATGGCCAGCGGGCGGCAGCATCGGTACCTGATGCAGGATGCTCCAGAAGAGCCCAGATTTGACCCAACTCGCCCAGTCTGAAGGCCCAAAAGACGTGACGCGCATGGGCAAACCAGCAACAGCAGGGTGGGTGGCCCCTGGCCTCCAGAGGGGACCCCTGTTCCATCGACCCATGCACAGACGTTTTAACCAGGCACCCTTCTCCTCATCAGTTCCAACCTGCAGATGCTTGTACTGTATCCCAGCAATGAGGTTGGTAATGAGCTTACAAGATACTTATGGAGCAGCCTTACAGGTAGGTACCGAGAACCAGACAACAAGTACAGCTCGCCGGCAGAACGAGGCAAACGGCGCATCCTCGGGTCCTCGGCACTTTACCACCATGTTTCTCCGGGTCTGGGGTACTTCGCATCACCCGATGTGCTTACAAGTAGGTATGTACTTGGCCCTTGGCCCTCGGCCAGCCCATGTCCTTCTTGCGACAGGGATAATGGCTCTTCCTTTGACGACACTCCTGGCCTTCTCCTGGCCCATTTGCAAGGTTCAAGGAAGCTGACCTGAGATTGATCCCTCTCCCACTTCCCGCATCCCTTTCATACACGCATCTCGTTCCATCACCATCCCCCATCCCCCCCCCCCAGTTGGCATTGGCAGGTCAGGCCAACCCAGCAAGAGCGCCGCATGGCACCTGGGAGAGAGCCCTGATGACTTCAGCTGATGCGTCAACGCAGCACGCGTCTGGCAACATTCAGGCCATTTTAGGTTCCATCCCACTGGGCATCAGTACCGGAGGTCGGCCATGCCATGCGGGCCAGCCTGGCAGGGCATTCCAGTTCAGGCACCAGCCGGGGATCGCTACCATGTACTTGTCGACAGGACCAGCTCGCCTGGCCTCCCTCTTCCTCCCAACCTTAATTGGAGCCGTGTCGTCAACACCACGCCATCAATTCAAGGAGAGGATGCTCAGGATGCTCACTTTGTCTTTCGCTTCACCATCTCAGGCCCTTCCCTGGTCGATCGCCGTTCCGTTGCCTGGTCTTGCAAGGAAGCACCCGCTGGGCAACTCTCGGTCAGTTGGCTGGCAGCGCTTCCTCTTGTTCCCTACCCCAGGTTTTCTTCTCTCTGTATCCCTAGGAACCTACCCATGTATTGGGAGACCGTCTGCTGCCGGTCTGCTATCCGGTCGTTTTTTTTCATGCCTTCAGCTTATGGATTATGGCCTCTGCGTTGCTTTTTGCTCCTCGCGCTCCTTTCCTCTGCGCGATTCCAAATACCATGTACACATACTCAGCTCAGTCACGCATTGCCGCATCTCCACCAATACAGCGGCCATGCCGTTGAGCCACAAGTCTCAGATGGACCGGCTCTTTTTCTATGGGTCAAGACTCTACCTACTAAGGACCCCCTGTTTGTCGTCAATCTGCTGCGCCGCCGCAGCCGCTGGAGTCGAAACCCCAGCCACGATGGCATTGATCGATGCTGCTCATTGCTCCTAGGGGGTTTCCCATTGACACGACCCAACATTCTTTGTCGCCTTTGGAGCCTTTCTCTGGCGCCCCTTTCCAGCTGCGTTCATCGCTGCAGAATGCTGATCTGCAATAGGAGGTTGACGAGCGAGCGACATGGTCTGGACGCTAATGTCGAGAAACTCGATCACCCCAGCAGTGGTGAGTGTCCTGTACCTGGACAAGGGCCGAGAATCCAACGCAAGGTGATCTGTTGGAGACCGACAGAGCCGGGGGTGTGTCTCAGGATGCTGCTAAGCAAGCCCCCATCCAGCCATTTGGGAGCGCCCACAGACATCCTATCCTGGGCATCTTTGAACACGCTTGGTTTTTTTTCCCTTTCGGCTTCGCGTCCTAATTTTCCAGCTCTTCTGGCTCCGTGCTGGCTGGTTCGTTTTTATCCGCGCCATTGCTCATCAAAGTTATCCCTCAATTCCCCAGCGTCGTCATCCTGACAGGCTCACAAATGAGCAACCGTTGC